AATTTTTTATTTTATTACTTTTTTTCTTTTCCTTCTCTTCTCTTCTGTCTTTCTCATATAGAACTTATTCTTGTTTTTCTTTTAAAGTGTGAACCTATATTGACACATCAAAATAAATGGAGAAAAAAGAAAAAGCTTTTACTCATCTTTTATGATTTTATCGTAGTTAATTGCCATTTCGTGGTGTGCAAAATAGTTTTGTAAAGGAAGTGAATTGTTAATGTAATGTAATTAGTCCTCGATTACCAATTTAGTTGCATATTGTCAATAGATCAATAATAGATGACAATATTATTTTGAAGAAAATACCAAGCAGAGTAAATATATGAGGTATAAAATACGACGAAATAGAAAAAAGGAAGTGACACAATGGTTTATTTGTATAAAAGCCTTTGTAAACGCTCCATTTCAATATACTGGTTTTCTTCTACTTTATTTTGAGGCAAGACAATATACATTATGAAGGTCTCTCATTTTCTCTTTTCTATTCTACTGTTGAATGCATATTTCTATGGTTGGATTCATGCTCAAAATGTAGACTTAACGTCGTGCATCAGTCAGCAATGGATCGCTTGTGGTATTTCCGTGGGTACAGCAATTTACAAGAAATATAATTCATGGAGTGACATCGATGAAAAACAAGCGTTTGGCACCACGTGCAAATCACAATTCAAAAGTGGTTTTTACGATTGGGAGTGGGTATGGAGTGGCAAATTCTGGTGTCCATCGCTAAGTGCAACAGTTATGGGCGAAAGTACAAAATGGAAAAGTCGAAATGGAGCTATTGAACATGCCATTCAAGATTACGTCACGAAAATGACATCAGTTGGGTTACTGAAACCACCACAGCTTATTGATGCACCACGTAAGAATTGCTTAATTATAGTCTAACATTTCTCAGCACTACGGACAACCATAATATTTTCAGATTATAAGACGCTAGTAGATCAGTAACCTACTTTAACGCAGTTACTGTCTTAAAAGCATGTCTATTTTATGACATATTCTCGTTCAAACGTTACATAAACAATTTCAAGTTTAGAGTTAGGTAGATTAGCTACTAATTGTGGTATATACTTACTATAATGATCACTTAAGAGATAGACTAAACACGAAGAAGGTTTCACATCTTCAGCACATCAGATCTCATTTGTCCATTATACGTGAAACGCTACATGTCAGAAAGTCTATACATCATGTATACTTTTGATTTCAAGTACCTTTTTATTTCTGAAAGATGTATAGTTTTTACAAGTAACTTTTGTAATGATCCCACTATGCATATAATCAGATCTTTTACTTGTTCTTTCAAATATTTAAATTTTGTTTAGGTGGATTAGTTCCATTCTATCGTTATAGTCAGAATGGTTATAGTCATTTCTATACCATAGATCCAAATGAAATTGGCACTGTTACTCCTGGTAGTACCGGTCGTGGGAATTACGTTTTCGAGGGTAGTGTAGGCAGAATTTATGATTCGCCTGGTCCCAATCCATCGCTCACGCTTGCTTTATATCGTTACATCAATATTCGCAGTGGTCAACATTTTTACACGACTAACTGGCAGGAAATTGGAACAAATACAGTTGGTGCTAGTATTGGAGATTGGAAACACGAGGGAATTGCAGGCTACATCTATTCGACGATGCAACCGGATACAAGACCACTTTATCGCTACTATGAGCGCAGTCATGACGCTCATTTTTACACACCTGATGCTAACGAAATCGGTACCACAACACCAGGAACAGCTGGTAGAGACGGCTATGTATTCGAGGGTATTATTGGTTATGTTGCTTAATTCTTTAAAAAACGAATTTCGTTCATCCAAAAATAAACACATATTTAAATCTTTTTATTCTATATTAAATCAAGACTTTTATATCATATAGTTTGATAACAAAATAAATCATTTTTTTTCTTCAACTGAGAGGAAGGTGATATGAAAAGAAAAAGTTTGTATGTATGTTTGTATCAGAATCACAGATCAAAAAGGCGTGAATATAAGACTAATATGACGCACATTTCTTCAGCAAGAAAAACAAGACAACTAATGAACACAGAAAGGATAACTATATAATGTTTCAACAGAAGATAATCATTTTGAACGGATATTACTGTGTTATCATCGCTGACAACTATTAAGCGCACCAATCATGTCCATCTAGCCTATTAATTTGACATATATTCGAACATTCTGACTCGACGAAAATAGTACTTTGAGGACCACAATAGAAAATATATTTTTAACTACCTCTACCATCTTTGTTAAAATTACGTTCTGCTTCGGCTATTCAAGGGTGTGGATGTGGCTGTGGATGTAGGTACTACATCTATTTGATATCCATACCCACACCCATCATCGAATAAAGTTATAATGACACTACAATGATCAATTTATTTGCTTGAACTTTTATGGTCATATTTAATTTTCTTTTTGATCGAAGAATTTGTGTAAGTCAAAATTTACACGCCAATAGTAAAATAAAATCCTTGTTGAGCTGCAATCTTAAGTTGTTCTTTACCTGCATCTGATATATTACAGTTACGTACGTTTAAATTATGAAAACCATGAGATAAAGATATAGCAGTGCAGATAGCATTTATGCTAGCATCAGTGATTCGTCTATTGCCATCTAAAGTTATTGATGCGATATTACTCTCGTATGATTGAGTTGTCTCAAGTAGTAGTTGAAGTCCTCGATCACTAACATCATTATCACTTAGATGTAGATGGTACGTCGAATGATTGACTCGAAGCATTTCAGCCAGATATTCACAGCCAACATCAGATATTCCAACAGAATTCAAATAGAGTTTTCTGAAACAGAGCTCTTCGCTTGGTAATCTCGTAGCAATACATTGAACACCTGCATCCAATATCTTATTCCCATCAAGATATAGTGCCGAGAAATACGTACGACTCCCAAACGTCTGAGACAAGATAGAAACACCGACAGATGTAATTGCATTATTACGAAGGCTGATTATCTTACACTTCTTTTCAATAATACCTAACTTCGCAACTATTTCCATATCTTGATCACTCAAATTCATCGAATCTAAAATTAATGTACCACGTTCTTCTATTGATCGAATGATTTCTTCAAGTCTTGGATTGCGATATTCATCTACTGGTGGGTTTACATTCATTAATGAATCAGCAAATGAATTCATCTCACGCAAATGAATGATATGAATTCCGTCTGCATGTTTCAATGTTCCTATAACTTTAAAATTAATTCCAGGTGAAAGAAGGATTTCATCATCATTTTGAAGATGTGAATATTCTCGAATAGATTTGCCATATTTAGTTTCAATTGCAAATATTGTTTGGACTTTTTCTCTACCTAAATACATTGGTGATTGAAGAACATCAAATGAAGATGTTGTCGAAGTTATTGACCACCATGTCACTTCATCTCCTTCTCGATAATGTTCACGAACATCTTTAGGAATACCGCGCCACACTGTATGACATTCCGCATATCTACAAAATCGATTCAATTTCAACCAACTTCATGTTGACAATACTAAGTGGTACTTACGGTAATTTGAAGAGTGCTGTAAACAATAATTTGATATATTTTAACCAAGGCTGAAGTTGATTTCTATCAATAGCACAAAGTGCTTGATTGAGAAGAATATGAAGACTGTTTCCTGGTTGATTCCATTCCATTGTATATAGATAGATAGATGATGATTCATCTTGAGTTAGTCCATGTTTGGGTTGCTTGTAATTTAATTTGGCAACAGTGATGTAGAGTTGAAGTTCTATGCCAAGTATATTTTCAAGTGGTTGACAAGCTTGTTCTAGAGATAGAAGTTGTTCTTGTTCAACACCATGAATTGGTTCAATTATTTGTTGTGATTGATGAGGAATATCGGCCAGAAGACGAGGATTGATTTCAAAAGATAACGCCATTTTTTATATATACTCCCTTTTTTTTTCTTTCCAACTTTATTGAAATGTAACGATGATGATAGTTTTAGTGCACGTTGTATACAGTGCAAATAAAAACCAAGAACAGAAAAAAATAACACCTACAGGTAGCGTAATCGAGAAATGCATAGAAGATGTGGGGGAAAGAAAAGAATGAAAAAAAACCATCTTGAGGGTGTGAGTGTGAGCGGAGACTTTGTTATCGTTCGATAATTTATCTATTTTGATAAGACTTATCAAAAGAAAATACCAAGTATACAATGTTGTTCTGAGTCATACTGTATATTTAACGAAAGAAGAAAGATAGTGGCACACATTTGCATTACATTTTCCAACATGAGTACTTACTTTAGACAAACAACATTACTCGAACATTTACCGATCGAAATCTTTCTAGAAATTTTTGCTTCATTATCACTTGAAGAAATTGTAACAGCTTTCTTTGGTCTTAATGCTTATATTAATTGGATTATTCGATCTGTAAAATGTACCAATCACGGGATAGTCAACAATGATAGCAAATCTATCAATCTCTTAAAATTATTTCCAACTCAAATCGATCGATTAGTTATTGAACAAGCTGCATCTGTTGATTTCACATCATTAATCAATTTACGATCACTGACAATAAAACATGGTACACCTGTGCAGTTAGATGGGATTCGTCCACAACATTTTCCCTTGTTAGAAATTCTCCATATTTCCGGTGGTAAGTCATAAAAGAAGGTTTGAATGATGCCTTAAAAATAATTATTAGAATCTTTTAAACAAAACAGTAATTCTAATGTTTTTTTTTGTTTTTAGTGAGCAGTGTTTCCTCAATTGATACAGCACGAACAATTAATGATTTATTTGAGGTTATATTATCTAATGGTTTTTCTCGACTTCGAATATGTACAGCGACACAAGTTGGCAGTTTAGAGTCGAATCGCAAATGGAAGAGATCACCTACTATTCAATATCTTCAATTAGATAAAACAACAGCACATGTTCGTGACGAGATTTACTCTACATGCCCAAACCTACGTTCATTTAAATGTTCCTTACCTCCAATTTCATTTTCACTCTCGATATTTGGGGGTTATACTAAAAATTTATTTAGAGAAATCATGGTATTGAAACAATGGGAATTTAAAAAAACGTTTATACTTGATTTTTGTTCGATGTTTCATGATGATGATGATGATGACGAACCACTTCCTAAGTTCAGTTACACACCACCAATCACTCGACTCTTGGATATACCGAATAATTTTGTTATTTTAGGCCGAATTCTACCAAATAACGATCCATATTGTTTTCGTTCACTTCTGGTCAGACTTACGTTCCCGCCAAGTTACCCATTCAACCCGCCTATAGCACACATTTTGGATCCATTCTACCATCCAAATGTTCAATTGGATGGTGGACATCGCTACTGTTGGGAATACTCTGTGAACAATTGGTCGCCAAGGATTACACTACTCCGCTTTATCGAGGGCATTATTAAGACCATTGAGAATCCCGACCTGAACCATCCGTGTGATCAATCCATTGCTAATGAATATCGAAATAACTACAAAGAATTCTATGATAAAGCATTAAAATATACACTAAAATATGGACGACCACGTAACTAATAATCTGCTTATAGAAAATAAAAAATACATAAACTTCAACGAATTATATTTATTACGAAAATAAATCAATGTCTAGATTTTAATTACACTATTTTACAGTAGAATGAAATGAAAGGATTTGTTTTATTAACGAATCCATAGATGAATAAATTTCGTAAATCTCATATCTCTATTGATAAGACATGATAAACGAGCTTGTAACCATAGAATCAATTCATCTTCGATCGATGGTTTAACTGAATGATATTCGCATTGGTCATCTTTAGAATGAACTTTTAATGTACGAAGATTCGGTAATCCATTGACAAGATCAATAATATTTGTTCGTTTTCTGACAATTAAAGAAAGAAATTCACATTGAATTCCTAATGATGAATTAATTAAAAGAAAACATTTATGACCATTGAACAAAGAAATATTATTTCTATTGGTATCACAAGATACATTTTGAAACTTGAGTGATCGAATTGAATGACTAAACAGATTTAATGGTATTTCTTGAATATCAGATGGAAACCAAGTTAATATTTCTAATGAATAAAGATAAGGTGCTTGATCAATTAATTTTTGTAATTGATATACAGCCGTATTTGCATCAATGTATGGAACACATCCAACTTGAAGATGAATTAATCGATTCAATTGTGGTAAATTAGATAATAATAGATCAGCTAAAGGTAATGTTAAATGAAGATTTCGAATATACGAAAAATACATATATGTATGTTTAAATGCAAAGTGAATCATAGCTGGAATATTATTATTGTCATAATCATATTCAAATGGGCATGTTGATTTTGTAAGAAGAGTATAACTTGAGGGTTGAATAATTGAATAATCTGAACGATCAGGAAGTGTATAAAGAGATATTAGTTTTTCAGTATCACTTGGTGACCATTGACATCGAATAAACCATTGATGATCTTCAATCCAATATGAACTACGATATGAACCAAATAATGAATCAACTGTTTTCTCTTTATCAGTATTATAACCCAATTCACAACTCATAAAACATCTGAATATTTTTAATTTCGATAAATAATTAACAAAATTTTGTTTCCATTGATGTCCATCGATAATAATACCTGTAGTTTTAACTATTAAACATGATAAATTTGTCATATTTTGTGATAAATTGAACAATAAGGTAGATGAATTAGAAACAAAGATCTCTAAAGCTGAGATAAATTGAATAGGAGATTTTATTTGTATGGAAGTAGCAAAATCAGGTAAACGTATATCTAATCGAAGAATATTTGGTATACTTTCTAATAAATCAATAAAATCATTCCATTGCCAATGAATATATGGCATTGATAAATATTTTATAGATTGTGATACAAGTGCTGGTAATGATATTCGATTATAACGTTGAAATCTAAAATCTAATACACAATGAGTAAGTTTTGGTAAAGACCAAAGATAATTGAAAGTATCATAATGAGATATATCATAATGTTCAAAATAACATTCAATCAAACGAAAACAAGTTAAATGAGGAAGATAATAACATTGTAAAATAATTTTATTTAATAATTCATTAGAACAAACATAATGAAATGATAATGATCGTAAATGAATAAATTGAGGAAGAGTTAAATCATTTCCAAGAAATAAATCAATTTGATATGGTGTTTCATCTGTATTTGATAGATAAAGAGCAACAATTCGATGTGAAATTAATGGAAGATATTCTCGACGTGTGAATTCAAATTCTTCTTTTGATAAATAATGAAAATCGAATTTATGAATTCGAAAATATTCAATGAGAAGTTTATTGAAACGAGAATTAAGAGTGTAAAAAGCACGAAACAGATAAAAACTATTGAAATATTCGAATAAATTTAATAATAATTCGTTGGGTAACAATTCCAAATACATTTTCGATAGAATATCTGTATGAATAAATTAATTTTTTCTTAAGAAATATATATAAACAAAAGATGTATTGTTTCTTCTTATAATGACCGACTGACGTTGATGCCGTTTCCGGTCAACGTATAGATGATAAACTGCTATTTTGTTTGTGATTATCTATTCACGTTTCAGATATTATATATATATTCGAAGAGCAGTTATATTGAGATTTTCATTTTTTATTTTAATAATGGTGTGGATATGGAGATATAAGAATGAATTAATCCACACCCACACTCTATCACAAAAAAGTAATTCTATTTGTAAAAGTTTCGAATGATTTTATTATTTTATTTTGCAAAGTAGAGATAATATGATAATTTGTAAAAATATGACTGTTCTTTTGTCTTGCCAAATGAAAAATATATTCATTATTGATCTCGAATGTTGAACGTCAAAAGAATAAAATTAATATCCAAACAATCGTACTTCACTATATTGAGTACTAGTAGCAGAGCCTCGTATCGAAGTGACAAGAAGACGATAGCTGTTGTACCAGATGCCATTGTTTGATATGCTTTCTAATATACCACAGTTATATCGTCCTAGATCAGTATCAAGTCCGCTTGAGCCACTATAGATCAGAGTCCAACTTGAGCCAAGATTCAGTGCCGAAGAGGTTTCATTGCTTCCTTCTACAGTTATGGTGATTGGATCACGTAACGGAATATCTGGTGCTGCACAAAATTGGATAGCTAAGAGTAATGATGCACCTCGCGCAAGTGTTACATAAAAACCGGTGTTTGTACCGCATGTAGGTGAAAAGAAATTCGAACTACAATTCCCAAAGTTAGTGTACTTAGTGCTAGTTTTCTGATCAAGTGCATATTCAGGTTTCTCATCACGATAATAATTACCAACATTATCACCTGGTGTAGCTACACTGCTATCACCACCCGCAATAGTATTCCATATAGGATAAATAATTTCATTTGTATTAGTGAGTAATACTAGATGAGAAATGGTATAAAACAAGTGAAATCAACATAATCTTCAAAAAGGTTCAAATACTCAACCGTTAGAATTTCACTAACTAGTCAAAAAGAATCTATCATTATCTTGATACTAGAAACAAAAATCTAAATACGATAAGTAGCAAATCTGAAATATACATATGCACAATCAGATTTACTTGCTTGTCTAATCGAATTTTAAACGTAAAAAGTTATGAAATATGTATGGAGAAGTACTCTTATGCATTTGGCTTATATCTCTAGTGGTAAACTAATCAGATAAGCAAATATCGAAGATAAATATTTTTTATTAAAAATGAAATAAAATCTGCTCAATCTTGCTAATCACCCATCGTCTGAATGTTAGTCAAAACCTACTCAAATATTAGATAATTGTATGAAAATTTTATGGGAGAAAATAAAAAATTGCTGGAAACTGAAGTCTACATCTTTACTGTTGTAGAATTTCTTACTTGATGGTCTAGTTGTGGTTGTAGTTTCTGTTGTTGATGTTGTAGTTGATATAGTTTCTGTTGGTGATGTTGTAGTTGATGTTGATTCTGATATTATAGTTGATTCTGATATTGTAGTTGATTCTGATGTTGTAGTTGATTCTGATGTTGTAGTTGAT